AAAAAAAAAAACCTGTCTTATAAAGGTTGTCACATGGACTGTGTGTAAAGGTCTTTAAGCATAGTCAGCACTCAACACTGTGAGCCCTTAGTATTGTTACTGCCCCAATCCCAGGTCAGGGTGAGACACACAATAGGAATGCAGTCAATATTTGTTAAATGAAGAAAGGAAGGAAGGCAGTGGATGAAAGCTGGGAATGGATGAAGTGGCAGAGCAGAGACTTCAGAAGGCTCAGGCTCATAGGCCAGGGAGAAGGCCTCCTCTGCTGAGGAAAGGCCCGGTGTGGTGTGGGTCCAAGCAGCTGCCAAGGTCTTCGGACGTTAGCTTGGTGCCACCTGCTGGCTAATGCATGCCTCACACCCACCCCCTCCAGCACAGAAGCCAGGGTGGACCCTGCACTGAGTTTGTCCTCTGTGCAATTTTTAAAACTAGCCAGACACTTAGAATTCATAGGGCCCAGGTCTTCATCACACATCTGGAGAAACCCAAGCCCAGAACCAGAGAGTAACCTGCCCAAGGTCACGTGGAAAGTTCCTGGCCAATCTCCAAGTAGAACCGAGAACTAGCTGCCAAGAATCACCACCTCTTCCCTCTGTCACGGAGGCTAAGATATACAAGACTGAACCTGTTCGCCCATGAGCTCTGCTGATTCTCAGGGGAGCTCCCCCCAGAAGCAGACCCCAAGCCCAGGAATGAATGCAGGCACTTCATTTGGGAGTTGATTCAAGGAAAGATCAGTAGGGAAGCAAAGAAATGAGATAGGGGAGGGAATGGAAGGAAACCAACGCAGGGTGTCTTACGGGGGTGTTAGCACAGTGGGTAAGTGGTGCTCCTCCCTTTCAGGAAACGCTAGGGGTGGGTCCAGCCATCTGTGTGTGGTCTAACAAGCCTTCCGGGTGATCCTGAGACACACTCAAGTGTGAGAACCTCTGACCTAGGATGTTAAAAAAAAAAAGAAGAAGAAGCAGGCCTTCAAACCAGTCATGGTTTATGCAGTGAAATCAGAACAGACTCGAATTTGTAAAATGTGATGTACTGGAAAAATAAGTGGAACAGGAAAAATTACAGATCAAAGCCCTGGTATAGAAGACTCAGAAGAGGTAGTGAGCCCTTTCAGAAGCCTGAAACAGGAGACTTGATTAGTGCCAGGCCAGTAGAGAGCAACACACACTCAAAGTGGACCAGAGCAGTTGGCTGCCCATCATCTTTGGGCCAGGCACCATTGTTTCTGACTCTGCCGAACAAGAGAGTTGGTTGCTATGCAACACACACACTGCCCTTGTTTTCTAAGAGGGGCTTTTAAGTTTTTAGCAGAGCATTGACCCGTAATTTTTCCCACTCTGTTTATTGATTGTTCTGGCACACCCATGTTTTACCAATTCAAGTCCACTTCGATTTTGCTTCATCAGCCATGCCTGAATCGGGAAGAACTGGTCCAAAGCCCTGGACCAAACCAGCTGCCTACAGAGACCATTCTAACTCATGGTGACCCCATGGGTAACATAGTAGAGTTTTCAATGGCTGCAATCTTTTGGAAGTAGATGGCCAGGACTACTTTCCAAAGGGCTCCTGAGTGGATTCAAACAGCTAACCTTTTGGTTAATAGCCAAGCACTTAAGCATCTGAGCCACTAAGGAGCTCCAGGAGATGAGAAGGTATCAACAGTCTGCTACAGGTATCGTCTCCATTTGACAGATGAAGAAACTGAGAAGTCAAGAAGTGAGAGTGACTCACCCAAGATCACACAGATAATAGGCAGCAGAGGTGGGTCTTCTGTCTCCGTCCACCATACTGCCACACACAGCAGTGAGAAAGCTAGCATTTGGGCTCTAGGTAAGGGATGAGGGCTAGCTCTCAAAAATCCTCCTCCCACCATAGACAGACCCACTTTGTTCCACTTGCTAAACCAAAGTTCTCCACCTGGTACATACAAATGGTCCTTGAAGCTCTTCTGAGAAAGCTGCCAAGCCAGGTGCCTCTCTCTTGGTTCCCAGTTGCCTCCCCTCCTCCATCAGGGAAAAGCCTTCTCGACCCCAATCCTCTGGGCAGCAGGACACTTGGGGAAACCCAAAGCAGCTTCTCGCTAGGGAAAGGCTGAGATCCGGCGTTTCACCCCGGCTGGCCTTGTCCTCACCAGGAATCTTTGTGTTCTTCATTCTCCTCCTTGTCCTACAACCTCCCTCCCCTCCCCTCCCCTCTGCTCCCACTCCATCTGCCGCTCCTCCCGGCTAGGCTCCCCCTCAGTTGGCACAGCGGGAAAAGAGAACAGGACGGTTATTTTTATCCTGAGATGTTGCTGGGGGAAAGCGGCACCATCTGACCGAGAAGCTGCAGCTCCTGTCACAGTTGGGAGGTCAAAAGGGGTGGGAGGCCCAGGATGTCCCCAGGACAGAGCTACAGATGTAAGGGCCAGGGAGCAGGCAGGTCTGGGGAAACCAGCACAGCACCGAGTGCGCAGAGTTCTGGATGAAGCATTACTAGGAACTGCTGTGTGACTGTAGGCAAGTCACTTGACCTCTCTGTGCCTGTTGCTACCTCTGTAAAAGAGGGAGGGACACAGGCCCTGCCTGCCCCAAAGGCTGTTTTGTGTGCACACATCAAATGAGAACGTTTGCAAAAAAAAAAAAAAAACTAAGCCAAATGTGAGACCACACGAACATCGCCCTGGGGGCAGGAGCCTGGGGCCACTTTTATTTATGCTCTGAAAGTGCCCTAATTCTCTGGGCCTGAAACAGCTCAGATCACCCAGCATGGCCACCCCAGCCTTTCTTCTTACATGTCTGATGATTTTTTAATTACATAAGCAACATGCGAATTCACTCTCCTTTTGAAAAAAAAAAATTAAAATAATAAAGCATTATAGGAAATCCAAGTCTCCTTTAACCGACTTTTCCCTGGACCCTTCCTTCCTACCCCAGACATTACCACATTTTGCGTTACAGATTTCTGTGTATCCTTCCAGAACCCTCCTTATGCACACAGATATAAAGTGCATTGTATTCACACATATATCCATAGACAATACGTCATATTGGGTCTTTTTTTTTTTTAATCACATAGGTTCGTTGTTGTTGTTGTTGTTGTTTTGTGCCATTGAGTCAGACCCAATTCATAGCGACCCTTCCTTGGGTTTCCGAGGCAGTATCACTATGTAAGTAGATTGCCCAACTTTCCTTCCAAGGAGTGGCTAGTGGGTTTGAACCCCCAGCTTTCTGGTTACCAGTCAAGTGCTTTAGGCACTATGCTACCAGAGCTCCTACAAGGTTTTAGTATGTGCTTAAAAAAAAAGTTTCCATATCCATCATCTTGCAACCTTTTTTTTTTCCCCCACACCACAGTGTCTTTCAGATCCTGTTGTACAAATATATTTCAATTTTATTTAGCCAGTCCCCCACTTGAGGGGCAGTTAAGTGGCTTCCAGTTTTTCACTACCACAAACAACACTGCAATCAACGGTCATTTGCACGTGTGTCTCCCTGGGCACATGGAAACCACCGAGATACATCCCTGGTACACTGGAGGAGTTAGTGGCTATTACTATATTGTCCCCTACCCCAAAGAGTTTCGCCTCCATCTTTAAAAAGCAAATTAAGAGATAGGCTGAGCTCCAGGGCTGGAGGCTGGAGTCCTCCAAGGCGAACATTTTCTCCTGGCTGGGACCTCAGCAAGCGCCAGCCTTACTTCACGCTGCAGCAGCAGCTCTGGGCTCTCAGGCCAGGTGTCCGTTGCCCAGGCTGCCTCTCTCCTGGGCACCCAGGGTCTCACAGTCTCTCCTGCACTGAGATGCGGCTCTCTTTGCCATCCTCCTGGGTGACGGGCTGGCACCCGTGTAAGGTCTCCTGCACTGGAGCCACCGGGTTAAAGCTAGGAAGGTCCTCTAGGAAAAACGACTCCTCGGGATCTTTCCTTACGCCCTTACCAGGGGGAACCTGGAGGAGCAAAGGAGTGAGGAGTGAGGTTACCCCAGCAGCCAGGCAGCCTTCACCTCTGAGGAGCCCCTCCCTCGGAAGCAGGTCTCCTCCCTAAACTCTCCTTTTTCCCAAATGGGAAATTCTTTGGGTGCCTCCTGCCCCCTGCTGGCCACACCGAGCATGACAAGAAGCTTCCAGAGTGGGAGTCAGAGGGGCTTCCAGTCTAGCTCCACCCATTGATCCAACACCAAGGCCCCAAAGACGGGGCTCCCCCACGTGTTTAATGCCAGGAAAGGAGTGGAGAGTGGCAAATGTCAGACTGTGCCAATGGGGCCAGGGACAGCTCTGTAGGGATTGGGGCTCTGGACAGGACAACAGCTGGCCTGGGGGGAGTGGGCAGGAGGAGTGGAGGCTGGGGTCTAGAGAAGGCGTAAGAGAAGCCAGTTCTGCTGCTCCCTGGACACAGGGGCAGACTTTGAACTGGGTTTACTGCCTATTAAAAAAAAAAAAAACTCACTGCAATCAAGTCAATTCCGACTCCTAGCAACCCCTTTTGGGTTTCCAAGGAGGTAAATTTTTATGAAAGTAGATTGCCTAATCTTCCTTCCACAGAGTGGCTGGTGGGTTTGAACTGCCAACCTTCTGGTTAGCAGTCAAATGTCTTAGGCACTATGCCACCAGAGGTAACAAGAAGTCAATCTTTCCAGTTTGGCAAAACTCTCCCCACCCTTCCAGATGGAACTTACCTTATTCTCTGGCTTCTTGACCACCTTACCTAAGAGAGAAAAAATGGGATGAGGGGTTGGGAAATAGGCGGCTGGTGCTGGTTTGTACCCTCTCCCCCTCTTTCTCCATCCCCTCCCACCTGAGGACTCACTGATAAAGGCAGACACAAAGAGGACAGCAAACAGGATGCCCAATGAGATGGGGATCACCACCAGAGCTCTCATCCGAGACCAGGGACCTGGAGAAATCAAGACTTCAGCAACGCCTCCTCACCCATAGTCACTGCCCACCCCTATGCCTGGAGCAGCTGTCCCTTGCCCACCACTAAAATCCTTCACTGTCTGAGCTCATGGACATCAGAGGTTTCAAACAAGTGGCACTTGGTGATATGTGGTGGCAGATGTCTTTAATGGGACCAGTAAAATTATATATATATATATATACATATGCCAACATTTTTTAAAATTGGAAGATTCTACATTAAAAATCTGGATATCTGGTCTCTCTTACAAATTTGGAAGATCTGGCCCCTGTGGAACCCATGTCTGGCAACCAACAACTAGAATAGAGTGGTGGTAGCTGTCTCTACCTCTTTCCCACACTCCCCACTGCTCCCTACTCTCTGCCCAATGTTGAGGTCCAGCATCATTTATATCTGCACTGTTGCTTTGGTCATAGATTAGAAGGGAAAGTAAATTCTCTCTTGTTGTTATGTCCCCATTCTAAGTGGTAAAATGAAAGGAAGATCAAGAAACACAAGCAAGTGAGACACTGTCCTTGCCATAAAATGTACAGGGGTGCCAAGAAAACTCGCCAGGATAAATAATATTCTTAAGTGATATATTTTTAAAAAATAATCAGCAAATTGCAGCCCACAGGCTGTCTGCCTATTTTTTAGACAAAGTTTTAGTGAAACCAGGTTTAGGATTAGGGTGAGGCAAGTAAGGCAGGATCATACAATAGCCTTCTCTCTCCACTCTTGAATTCTGTTAAGAGTCTCATAGTAACCTGAGTAGGATTTAAAATTTTGATGTTTTGTTCATCGTGGGTTGGTTGAGTTTTTTTTCATATGTGTGCATCAATTTTGATTTAAATATATAGAGATAGATAGATATAGATTAAAATATTACTTATCTTAACTGCTGTATTTTTTTGGCACTTCCTTAAGTATTGGGTCTTAGGCAAGTGCCAGGAGGAAACTGAATTTTAAAGAAAAGTAAAAAGGGTGTAGTCTTCCTCCTGACCTTTTTTACTCTTTAACATGACCTGTCTCGTCCCTGTGATGATTTGAGTTTGTGGACTGTGGTGCAGGCCCACCTCCTCATTCTACAACTAAAACTGAGGGCCCAAGAGTGGATGGTGTCCCACTGTACGGTACTCAGAGTGCAGGGAGGCACTAAGAGGGCAGCTATTAGCATCCTATTTTACAGATGAAAAAATTGAGGCTCAGAGAGGACGTAACTTGACCAGGATACACAGGTAAGAGGCAAAACTGGGACACCACAACCCCAAACTGCCTCCTCCTCTCACTTTACCTCCTCTCCTTTTCCCCACCTGGTATTTCTCTGGGCCTCAGTCTCCCCTTTCAATTTCCCACCATCCCAGCCCATTCTCCAGGACTCACCACAGACAGCATCAGTCATGCTGGTTCCCGCCTTCAGTTCTGCCAGGTCTTTGGTCTTGCAGCTGGATGCAAAGACACATATGGGTGTGTGCACACACACGCACACACGCGCACACACACACACGCACACAGAGAAAGATACGTGAAGTTTCTCTAATAGTAAGATTTCCAACCCCTGAGGGAGGCAGTCAAACAATCCACAAATCTGGGTTCACCAAGCAAGTATGTCATGCAACATCCTACGCAGGTTACTACGGGAATGACACAGACGCTTATGGAACTCACGAGTGGAGAGAAAAGACTGTTGCACGTGAACCCTTGAAGGAGTAATAATAGGAGAGTCTATAATGAGTGCCAAGCTTTGTGATGTTGGTGAAAATGAAGTAAGAAGGATTCAGAGAAGAGACAGACCCACAATGGCTGGAATGGAGAGATAACGAGTTCTGTTTAAGGCAGCATTCTCAGCCTTGGCACTACTGACATTTGGGGCTGGGCCATTCTTTGCTGTAGAAGAGCTGTCCTGTGTATTACAGGAAGTTTAGCCACTCCCTGGCGTCTACCCACCAGATTCCCATAGCACTCCCTCCCCAGCTGTGATAACCAAAATGTCTCCAGACATTGTCAAATGTCCCACGGAGAGCAAAACTGCTTTCTGTTGGGAACCACTGGCTTAAAGGTATTCTGCAAAGACTTCCCTGGGGAGGTAAGATCTGGGCAGGTCCTGAGGATGGGAGGTTTAGAGTGGCAAGTGCGTTCTAGCCAAGCGACCAAGGGAAATCAGCTGGGTATACGCAGAATGGTGCCAGGAAACTATGGGCAAGTGGGTCTTTAGAACCAAGTCATTGATGACCAAGCATGGAAATTTCAAGTGGAGTCAACTGGTGAGTCTTGTCAGCAACCAACCAGATGACCGAAGTAGTGCAAAAAATGTTTTCAAAGCTTGCGCTGGCCAGAGAGCTCCAGGGAGGAGAAATTACAGAAGAGTGGCCAGCTGGCAGGACACTGCAGGAGTCCACAAATGGGATGATGAGGACCTAGTCCAGGCTGGTCCCAGGAGGAATGGGGAGGGACGGGCAGAGGTCATTGCAATGGAAGATCCATCTAACATGGGAGAAGGAGAGAGGAGCCGAAAAGCAAGCATCTGGCTTAACCTTAAAAAACACTTGCACATGTCTCTTCCTCAAGCACCAAAAGACACAGGTCATTCCCATTTTCCAAATGAGGATACTGAGCTCAGAGAGGGTGGGCATTTGCCCTGGGGCACACCATGACCAAGCCACAGTCAGACTGTAACCCAGTTCTCTGATTCTATGACACCACGGGTACTTACAGTCAACATTCATCAGTAAGTATTTCCTGAGCATTTACTATGTATCAGGTACTGTTCCAGAAATAGGGGATGCATCAGGTGCAGGGGAAAGGGGCTATTATGGGTGAATTGTGTTCCCCAAAACATATGTGTAAATCCTAATCCCTGTACCTGTGGTTATAACTCATTTGGGAATGGGTTTTCCTACTGTGATAACTAGACAGTATTAGATTACATGTTTTAAATCAATCTCTCTTGAGATATAAAAAAGCAGATTAGACACAGAGAAGGAAGCAGAGACAGGGGCAGACAGCTGCCATACCACATGACAATCCCCAAAGAACAAGGACTTTCCCCCAGAGCCTACAGGGAGAAAGCCTTCCTCAAAAACCAGTGCCTGGAATTTAACTTCTAGTCTCCTACACTGTCAGAAAATAAACTTCTGTTTGTTAAAGCCACCACTTGTGGGTATCTCTGTTTTAGCAGCAGTAGAGAACTAAGACAGAGGCCCAGTTTTTATACTTACAGAGTTTGCAGACTTCTGGGGAAAGGTAGATAGTGAACAAGTTATACAGTTTATATGGTATGTTACTACATGTATGAAAAATGAAAGAAGGGAGAATGTGTATGTGTGTGTGCACATGTGTGTGCATGTGTGTATGTTTGTACATAGAATCTCAGGAAGGACACACAAGGAACTGGTGACAGAGGTGGCCTCCATGGAAGGGGATTTGGTGGCTGATGGACAGGGTGAGGGAGACTGATCATTAGAGGTCTTTCTGTGCCTTTTGTCCCATCTGCATGTGTCACTCATTTTTAAAAATTAAATGTAAAAAAAGTTAATGGCAGGTGTCAAGAACATTTCCAACAGGAGGGTGTTAGGCAAGACAATGAACGGCGTGTTCAGAGGCTGCAAGCCCCATGAGGCAGCGAGATGTGGGAAAGATGTCATCAGATGAAGCTGGAAAGTCAACTAGGGCTTAAATGCCATGCTCAGGAGTTTGAGTTTCACCCTGAAGGCAACAAGAGGCAGGAAGGATTTTAAATAGAGGAGTGCCGGGATCTGAAACGGGTTTTAGAAAGCTAACTCCAGCACCAGGATGGAGAACCAGCTAAAGGGGAGAGGCCTGAGGTCAGTGAGGAGGCTGAGGCCTCACTATGATGAGGCTCAAACTAAAGTGGGCTCAGTGGAGACAATGAGAGGGAGAGGGATTTCCAAGGATTTAGAAGACCAACGGACAGGACCTGGAGACTGACTTGGGGATGGAGGTGATAAAGGAAGGCCCATTGGGTAAGTGCCTGGTGGTGAGGAAAGTGAGCACTAAGTCCATTTGGGACACACAGCGCTGGAGATGTCTGTGGTCATCCAGGTGGAGATGGGCACACAGTAGCTGGCTGTGAGAATCTGGGAGCCAGGAGACAATACCGGACAGGAGATCTTGATGGGAACCATCATAAGGAGATGGTAGTTGAAGTCATGGATGTAGATGAGATGCCCCAGGGAAGGCAGGCAATGTGATTAGTAAAGAGAGCCCAGAACAAAGGACTAGAAAAACCATTCAAGGAGGAGGAAGACTGAGGAGGTGCAGAAGTGGGGGAAAGAAGGAAAACTAAGAGAGGGATCATGATACTGCAAGGAGGAGGAACTTCACAAAGATGAGAGAGACCAACAGTGTCTGTTACACTAAGAGAAAGCAGGCAAGACAAATGCTGGAGAGTATCCACTTGGTTGGCCCTAAGCCCCCTTTGTGGGTGTTCTATAGTGTGTGTGGACATGGGAGGGCAGGGGGTTGAAGGACAGAGGACAGCATGGAAGGAGAGCCTGTGTCCCTCATGGGGCAGGAAACAGAAGAGGATGAGTCGTCATACCTTGTCCAAGGGTGACACTTTTCCAAAGCAGATGACACATTGGAGAAAAAGCCGACTGGGCAGGGTTTGCAGACGGTATCAGAAACACCTGTAGCTGGAGGGAGGGTGGGGTGTGACATACTCGTCACAGCAGACCACCTGCCAAGCTCTCAAGAGAGCAAGTGGACAAGTGGGGCAGGAAGAGCTTCTGCTCTGAGCACTCTTTCATCAGCCTAGAGCTTCCCCAGCTGTTATAGGCCCCAGGAGGGTTTCTCCTGTCGCCCTCCCAAGGCAGATGGAAGGGAAGAGGCTCCATTTCCTGAGGTATCAACTTAGGTTGAAGTCTCCGTTTCCTTTGCTTTTGAGGCTGAGTATGCACGGCCCAGTGTCTCACCTGTGGCCCTGGGCTACTCTCCTGCCTCCAGAGCCAGTGCCCAGACAGGCCACTTACCGATCTCCGTGACCCCAAAGCCAGGAGGGCAGGAGCTGTGTGGGACACAGCTCTCGCAGGCGTCACTGGTGCAGTGCTGGCCCTTTTTACAGATGCACGTGGTGTCTGTCTTCAAGGTGCCATTCTTCTGGACCTGGAGCCCTAGGTCTGAGCAGAGGTGGGCAGGAAGGATGGTACCCCTTGCTGGGCCATGCTCAGAGCCTGCTGCCTGCTCTGTTGTTCTCAGACCCTCTTCCAAGTAGGGATAGTGATCAAATTCTTTAACCACTAGTACAACCCAGACCCTGGCTATTAAAGACACAGAATGGCTGTACCGTCGGGAATGAGCACTGCCCCCCAGAAGCCCACTCACTGGGCTCACAGTATTTGTGCTGGTGACAGTGTCTCTCTCTGTTCAAGGTGCCCAGGAATTCATCTGGACCGCAAGGATGGCATTGTGTGCTGACGTCCTTGGAACAGTCGTTCACCAGTTTCATTCCTGGAAAACATCAGTAAAGGAGGAAGTTCTGGCCAACTCAAAGTCAGATTCTCCTCACAAGAAATCCGGTCAGTCTTTAGGGCAAGGGGTACGGAGATGAAAATCTTGGACCCTCCCATTCTTCATGGTCTGGAGGGGGAGATGCTGGGCCACGCTTGCAGATAGGAACCCTAGTGCTAAGTAGGCAGAAGTTCACCTGGTGGAGGGAGCCGAGAACATTCTGACAGCTGGGCAGGGATCGGAAATCCCTAGGGCTGGGTTCCGACTTGCATTTACAGTTGGCACATGGGTTTGTGTCTGCCAGCAAAGCCGGGGGGCCCCACTAAGGGATGTGAGGGTGGGATCTCACCTGGAGGACAAAGATCACAGCACTGATCGTTTATGTAGTACTGGTCTTGTTTGCACGGAGTAGGAGGCTCTGTGTGGACCTGAAAAGAGAATCGTGGAATGTGAAGGAATCTGGAAATCCCTGCTGCAGCCTCCACGCAGGAAGGGGAAAGGTGGTCAGGACAGGCTAGAACTGGGGTGGAAGACCACAGCAGAAAATGAGCCTGCATATGACTTGGCGTGTTTGTTTTCAAGTAAACCGACAACAGATCTGATTTTAGAAGCTCCCAGGGAATCATTCTGATATTTTATAAAGTGGTTACACAAGAACCTTGCAATATTCTTAGAACTAGACGGATCCTCATTTTGGCTTGACTCCTGGCTTTTTCCTCTTCTCCAAGATGTGAGGATGTGAGGCCAGGGGGCTGGAGTGCCTCCCCTGGAGTCCTGAGGCTGGCTGGAGCTATATTTGGTCCCTGACCTCTTCCTCCCATCCTTCCACTCCTCCTCCCCCGCCCCCCTCCAAACCCCATCATGTTTTCACCCTCTAACTATGCTCATCCGGCCCTTGCCTCATGAAATGCTAGGCTTATAAAATTCAACTCTTTTTATTTTACAGATGGTGAGACTGAGGATCAGGGAGGCTGGGACACTTGCCCAGAGTTAAACAGCGACAGAATCCAAATGAAAACTTGAGTCTCGATGCTTCCTCTCTCCATCAACCTGGGTCTGACCTGCACCGTTTTCACTATGTCCAGGTACCACCCGTGCTAAATACGTTCACTTTAAAAGTAAACCTTGTATCATTGCCATGAGAGAAGAACCAGTATCACATCTTATAAATAAAAAGGCAACCCCAAAAATAAATCCCACAGAAACAAAACAGTGTTAATCAACCCCAGGTGGTTGCTTTTCTGGTTGAAGGACCTCCATCCCAGGTCTGCTCTGAATTTTTGTTTAAAGAGGAAGATTAGCAAATGCCTGAGAGGTGTTAACTCTCTTCGAGCTTCAGAGACTCCCTCCTTGAAGAAATGAGAAGGATTAAAAAACCTGTAAAGTGAGTCTGGGTTAACTTAGTTTTATATCCATGTGCTCCTTAAAATCATCCCACAGTTTGGGAACCACCAGTGAGAAGAGCACAGATTTGAGAGTCAGATAGCTTTCAGCTCCAATCTCAACTCTGTAACAGTTACTAGTTATTTCACTTTTCATAGCCTCAGTTTTCTTATCTGTAAAATGGGAGTAATAATGCCTGCTCTCCAGGTCGGGTTGTGAAGATTAGAAAGAATATATGTATATGGCCTAGCACAGTGCCTAGAACAGTAAAGAAAACCAAACCAGTTGCAGACAGGTCAGTTCTCACTCAGGACAACCTCGTGTGTGCAGAATGGAACTGTGCCCACAGGGTTTTCAAGAAAGAGAGCGCCAGGCTGTTCTTCCAAGCCACCTCTGAGTGAGTTCAAACAGCCAAGCTTGCGGTTAGTAGTTGAGCGTTCAACCATTTGCACCACCCAGGGACAGCCCCAGGTGCCAGTAAGTGGCAGCTTTTCATCATCATGCATGCGTGATACCTGCTTGAGTGCCAAGCACCCAGGCTATTGGGCTGGTTGTCCAGAAGCCCATCTGATCAGCGGCTCTGATTACGGAAGTGCATCTTAATGATCAAATGAGGAAGGAAGTAGAAAAGGCTGCTGCCCCCACCAGTACATACCAACGCACCAGCCCGTGAATGTCCTCCTAGCAAGCCTGGTGGGCCTTCCCTCACACCCCCAGGGCAATGACGGTCCTTTGACGCCACTGTCCAACACAGGAGACTCCTCCTCTGAAAGCTGTCAGTCCCCAGAGGTCCCACCCTTCTGCCACAAAGGAGCTTGGGACCAGCACTTGGAGATTCTCCCCATCTGAGAGGCAGTCTCAAGAATCATGCGGGCGTGGATTCCTATCCAAGTTCCACCCTCATCCAGCTATGAAGCCTTGGATGAGACACTTCCTCTCTCTGGGCCTCTGTCTCTTCATCTGTATAATGGGCCATACGGGAAGAATCAGAAGGAAAATGTCAAGCACTTAGCTCAGGGACTGACCTAAGAAGCCCTCTGTGAATAGGCCCTGCTGTTATTAGATTGGGAGCTCTGGTAGCATAGTGCCTAAGGCACTTGACTGCTAACCAGAAGGCTGGAGGTTCAAACCCACCAGCCACTCCTCGGAAGGAAGGTTGGGCATTCCTACTTCCGTAGTGATACTGCCTCGGAAACCCAAGGAGGGGTCGCTATGAGTCGGGGCCGACTCGATGGCAAATAACAACAACATTATTAGATTTGTCTAGACCCAGCCTCTGTCTGGAGCCAAAACTGGGGGTTATGAGGGCTCTTGAGAAGCCCAGGCCACCTTCCATCCCACCTCCCCTGGCTCCTCCTCCATCTCTTCCTCCAGGGCCCTCCTCCTCCTCTCCCCAGCTCCACTCTCTTCCCACCAGCCTTTCCCCTAAGAGCCATTGCTTAGAGTGAAAATGAAAGCTCCAGACCCAGGCAGCTTCCCCACTGACTTTCCCCTTGCTGTCCAGCCCTGCACACCACAGGTCATTGCACCGCCCTCATGTCAGAATCCGCAACCCCCTAAATGAGGGTGGGGACAGAGGGGCAGAATGAGCCCATCAGGTACTGGGGGGATTCCCAGGCCCCAGAATGAGGAACTACAAAAATACTTTGAAGCAAAAAGTGAGTCAAGGGCTGGGCTCTGAAAATCCCGGAGACATGCTTGGTTGGCTCTGAGCCCTTCTGGGTGCTGCAGAAACCCCTGCTGCTCTCCTAACCCTTTTCCGGGTCCCATGAACTGCTCATCCCACCACCAGCCCCACAAAAAGGTCCCATACGCCACCCTGAACTTAGCAGGCACTCAGCCCTAGGTATCCAAGATCACCCACGACTGGGGAAGGGAGGGAGAGGATCTGAAAGAAGTACCCAGGGCTCTGTCCCCACCCCCTGTTCCCACAAGATGCCCTGCATGGTGGCAACCCCGGCTGGCACGGAGGTAAAAAAGGACTCCCAGAGGCTGGCCCCTGCCCACATGGGAAAGGGGCAGGAAAGAGCCAGGAAGCAGCCTGACCCGCCCCTTCCCGGGGCAGTCCCACCAGTCTGTGTGGCAGCCTCAGGGACTTACCCAGACTCTAGCCTGCTAGTCAACAGACTGTTAGAAGTTCCCTGGACCCTACCGCGTCCACACCGTCTAGGCAAGCTTGTGCCTGCCATGCCTTCCTTAGACGCCCTCTGTGGGCCCTCTGGGACCCCGGCCCGGAAGGAAAGAAACAGCCCACCCCATTCAGCTAGCACCCGGGGTCCTACACTCAGCTTCTACCCTCCTGTCCCCCCCAAATCTGCCAGGAAAACTCCTTCCCCGAGGCCCTGCTACCCTTCCCTCCCATTCCTCGCTCTTAAATCCCAAATTCCCCGTCGGGTCGACGCAGAAACTCAACTCACGGCGGTCAACACGCTGCCCCAGACGAGACACTGCAGAGGCAGGCGAATCATGGTGGGGCGAGACCTGGGCGGCGGGAGCAGAGGGCGCGGGGCTCTGCCTTTGGTAGGAACTCCCAGGCCCGGGGGCGGTGCCGCTCAGGAAAGGGGCGGGGTCTTCTGGGACCAATCGCGGCCGGCCTAGCTGAGGGGGCGTGGTCAGGCGTTGCACTCTTCCCTGCAGGGATTTCTGCAGGACATTCCCAGATGTTTCACTTCTCCTGGAGTTTAGGGAAGCTTTTGGGAAGGCGTCCAAGAGCGAGTCCTCCCTCCTCGTCCCTGGAGAGCGGTGTCTACGGATGCTGGGGACCCTCATGGTTCTCCCCCGCCGCCTACGGAAATCCCGGCAGAATCGAAACGTCTCCGCCGCGGATGGAGAGCTGGAAGACTTCCCCTGCCCCAGAAAACCGGAAGGCCACAGCTGGGGCGTGGGAGGAGGGAGCCTGGAGAGGCGTTTCACCGAAAAAGAGTTTCCCAGCTTTGAGTTTTGCTCTCTTCCAGAGGAAATTCCCTCGCGTGGGCGCAGCGTCCCATCCATCCATCTACCCATCCAGCCATCCATGTGTCCCCATCCCTATTCCACTCTATCCCAGCTCCAGTCCAGCGTCTGGGGACCGGCATTTACGATCAGCCTTTTGGGAGCTCATCGGAATCGGATTCTCTTTGAGAATCTTATAGAATTCGAGGTTTCCTCCTTCTACAGAAACACACACTTGGGCCCACCTTTCCCCTCTTCCCGGGTGCCATCCCGCCCGGGCCATCATTGAACCCGATGTTAACACCACCACCATTAGCACAGAACACCTGGGTTCTGGTTCAGGCTCTGCGTCTGATGTGCTAGAGTCTCTTGAGCCTCGGTTTTCCCCCAATGAAACCTGAAGAGGTTCAACTAGATGGTGGCTGGGGTGACGACCCTCCCAGCTCTTTCTATGCCAGGCCAAAAGACAGGCTGCTCAGATCAGGAAAACGGGAGAGGAGGAGGCTGCTAACCCCACCTCCTGGCTTCTGCTGCAAAGGGTACATTTATAGCCCCGGAGATTCCTCCTCTAGGGTCCATCCCCTCTTTTCCATCTCCCCTTCCACCACTGCTGTCATTCACAGGCTCACCATCTCTCACCTGGGCCTCCCAACAGCCTCAGTCATTCCCTCAGTAAGTACTTGCTGAATCCCTACTATATACCAGGCAGCTCGC